CACACACACACACACACACACACACACACACACACACACACACACACACACACACACACACACACACACACACACACACACAATTAGAAATTCTGTTTCATTTCACCAAAATACATTCAACCATATACACGTCTTATTAACGTAATCAAATTATTACAACAATTATAAAACTGATAAATAATTGGAGCGAATGGTGTGTGGAAGTTAATATAAAAAAAATTAAATTAGATTCCGCTGTTATATAATATATTAATAACAAATAGAAAAGATAATTCTGTAAAGAACGTATCTAATAGGATATTCTTCAAAAGATGTGACTACAACGAACGTAGAATTCCGACGGTTTGTTCAGGAGATGTTTGTCACCCAGGGAGTTTGAAATTGAATTAGGAATGATCCGATGACGTTTGTTTGCGCAATCGATTGGACAATGCTCGCAAATTCCCAACGTCATTTGCAGGTCCTTCAATTACCGACCATATGCTGCGCCTTACGGGGCCGAGAGGGACAACTGCGAGCTCAGCGACCGGGACTCCAGGGACATGGACATGGGCAATCCGGTTTATTACGACACGGGTTCGGATTACGACTTTTATGAGAGGAACAACGGTCGCCAGGGTGCGGACGGGGAATGTCTGGACGGTAAGCGGCCACTCCGTCCGTGAAGCGCTGATACGAAAGCTGAGAAACGCGTGAAAGACATTCGAGCGCATTAGGAACCAGGGAGAAACATACTTTTTTGCAATTCGAAATGAAATATTCGAATTATCACTTGCACGGAGTCGGATTGTCTTCTACGCGTAGTAATTAAAAATGCATAGAACATAACGATTTTTCCGCATTTTATTAAATAAGATAACTACTCGCCTAGAATTAAGCTACACTTTAATGATAAGAATTCACACACGTTATTGTATAGAACTTTGCACCACATTGTCATACGACTTTACTTTTACGAAATAAATATCTAATGCTGTTCTTTTATTTATACTTCTTCTTCCTCTTGCATGTCTCATGCTCGTAATCTACTTAATATCTACGCACCACCACAGTCTACATTCGGTCATCGATGATGTTTGTGATACATTTTTATGAACATCCTCGATTAACAATTTCCCATCCCTTTCCAATCTTAATACAATTTTTTTAAACTCTGTACCTATAATAACAAAAGATGTAATATAATTTTTTTGATTGTGTACTTAGACTCTTCAAACTCCAACTTTTGCCTCCAGCTTTTGACATCTTAAATATATTAATTGCTGACTAGTTAGTGTTCCGGTTTTATTTTTACTTATACCGTACAATATTTATACTGCTCGGACTTTGAGTATTTTTACTGTCTTTCATCTTTTCTTCACTTAGCCGTTCTTTCTATTCCGCTTATCATGCGACTTATCGTTTGCAATCGACACAGTAATTTCGAGAATAAAGAGCGATCACGGGCATGAGAATACGGGCTGCTTAAATTTTTGGTTTCGCTCAAAATTAAATTAAAACATTTAATTTGCCATTTTATTGCATTTTACATAAACGGTAGTTATTAATTATATTGCGCGCCTAACTCTCAGGAAATCTATTTTATATATTATATATTGTGCTAAAAGAAAAATGTGGTTGACAATTTTCAGCGTCGATCTGTCAGAACGAAACTTATTTGACAGTTACCACTTCGAATAATTTCTTTTACTATCACTTTCAATTTAATTAATTTCGTACTAACGCGCACCTCCTCGATCGTTTTTCGGAAACCATGAGCAACGAGTTACGCTCTGTTACGCTTTTAGTGAGTCAAGCCTGCAGCGAGGATGGAATGGAGTTTACTCTGAGGACGCCGGAGGGATTCATTGGGCGAATTTACACGTACGGATACTATGACCGATGCTTCTTCCGCGGAAACGGCAGGACCGTGAACAAACTCCGTATCAGCGGACCTCAGGGATACCCCGAGTGTGGCACACAGCGAGTAAGAGCAAAAATTTTTGCTTAACAACATGATCCACTACAACGTATAATAAATTAACTTAACTAAGACTCCTTATAAATCAAAAAACAATGAAAGAACAAGGGCAGTAGGAGTCAAGCGCGGGAGACGTTGCGCAAATAACACGACTATCGTAGCGTGAAAATTCTTTATTTTACTAAATTATTTTACTAAATTATTATATACTAAGTTATTTGCGCAACGTCTCCCGCGCTTGACTCCTACTGCCCTTGTTCTTTCATTGTTTTATGATCCACTACAAAGTAATTTTCGATTTAATTTAAACTGCAATCTTTTACTGTGCACGTTCAAGGAATGATCTCAAAACCTTTAAATCAACGCAAATGGAAAATTATTTCACAATAACTTTTAATCAGACATCAAATATAAGAATTATTTATAATAATTTAATTTTTTAAATTTCGTTTTAAAAAAGATACTTCTCTTTTTTTAATGATATCTGATATTAAAATAAAAATTTTAACGGTAATAATCGATGTAATACACGTTTCAATGGCGAATGTTTGCAGTACGGTGATACGATGACAAACATTGTGGTGGTGCAATTTTCGAACCTCGTGCAAACCGGACGGGACAAACGATTCAACCTGACATGCATGTTTCGGGGACCTGACGAAGCTGTCGTCACATCCGGCTACATCGGTGCCGGGTATGCCAGGTCATATCAATTGAAAGATCGTGCCTTGTACCGAGAGTACGATTTTTAACGCGTTGAATGCCATAAGTATCTCGGGACACTGAATTATGTAAATAAAGCCATATCGAGAGAAAAATCTTTGAACTTACCTAATAATATTCCTCGTTACAATTTTATCTAATTATATTTTTACAGGACTCTTAACAAATCGTACTAATTTTAGACAAACGAATCTATAAAATATTATTTAGAGTCGAAAGTAAAGTTCTATTTTTTATAATTAAAAATAAAAAAATAAATAAATATTTGAACGTCCCAATTCTTTCCCCCTCTGGATATGCTCATGTTTTCCACCACATTCATTAGACTTGTAATTCATTCAATTTCGCTAATGGATCTCGTGCGTCCACTATACAGATCGGGGTCTCCCATCCCTATCGAATATCTCCCAGCGGAAAATACCCTGAGCTCCAGAGTGCGCTTGCTGATTCTCTATCAGGGTAGACCTACGACGACCATCGCCGTTGGTGACCCTCTCACTTTCAGACTCGAAGCTCAAGATGGGTAATTTTAATTTATACGTCTTTTAACATGATATCCAATTAATGGAATTAAAAAATTATATGGAAATAATGGTTTGATATCGCTGTCCGATTCTATTCCGTTGACTTCCAAATTAATTATTGCTTATCAAATAGATCGCTAGAGCTTCGCATTTAAAATATCTCGTAATAATCGCGTATAAATTTTAATAAGTCCCAATCATTATTGTCCATAGGTACAATTACGTAACGGATATATTTGCTACTAACGTTATTGCAAGAGATCCTTACTCTGGTAAAAGTGTTCAACTGATAGACAGATATGGGTAAGAAACATTGAAACTCCTAATAATGAGAGGCGGCAAAGAAGAGAGAGAAAAAAAACAAAAAGAGAAGCATTATAATAGCATTATCTATATTGAAGATAATGCAACATCGGTTGCGCTCCAATAATCACCGCCAGTACTGAATATCGGAATGCAGCCATCATTGCACCATTTTTTTTCTCTATCTTGGCCTTTATTGAGATGTTTAAGTTACATAATAATTGGATAAATTAAATTACCTCCGCAATCTATCTACATAACGTATCCGCGTAATTGAAACTGTCCGGAAATTGCAGCTGTCCATTGGACAACTACGTGTTTCCGGGTTTGGATCGCCTCCGCGACGGCGACAGCCTCGAGGCCCGCTTCAACGCCTTCAAAATACCCGAATCAAATTTCCTGGTGTTCGAGGCGAACGTACGAACGTGCCGCGATGGCTGCCAGCCAGCATATTGCGGTGGTACCGGTAGAAGTGAACCGTCCTTCGGCAGACGGCGAAGGGACGTAAATAACGATACAGTGGCGGACGAGGAAGAGGCATCGCCGATAATAGTAACGAATGACTCTAACAATGCGTCAACAACGATTTTCAACGCGACCGATGCTGCGAGCGATGAGCTGGACAACGAAGAGGAGGAAGAACACGTCAGAGAAATGATAGAGGTATCAAGATAGATCGCTTTCGTTTCGAAGGAATAGAAAGGTGTCATTTTCATTCCACCAATAATATTATTTGTATTTTGATAGGTTCTCGATTCAAGAATGGACATTGAAGAAGATAGTATCGTCGAGAAGCAAACTAAGATCTTGGAAAATATTTGTATAACGCAAAACGAATACTACGGCTTGGTTACCGCAGTGGGCATCCTCGTGGTGCTCTTGGCCTCCGTTGTTCTCTTGTCTATGCTCGTTTACAGGTAGAACTTATATTTTACCTATGAAATTTAATAACTTATTCGCATTTTATTATTTAAGAACACATCCCAATGAATAAATCGACCCTTAAGAATAAATTCATAAAAATAAGTTAAGTTTTACCTATGAATACTTATAAGCTTATAGCATGATTAATAACGTATGTTGGATCTCATTTTTTTTGTCTATTAAGCGAATTTAAAGTGATTCATTATTTCAGAAAATACGTTTATTCCGTGATTATGAAAAATCGTAGACTCGACAAAGCCTGCAGTCGCAGCAACCATTCCGATGAGCCTTACAGCAGTCGAGTCAACAACTTTTCTTTTATGAGGACAGGTCTTCAGAAACCGTTCCAGCCGTCGTAAGTGCCTATGCGTATTTTAAATTCTGTCTTTCTAGTTGAAAATAAATGAATCAGAAGATTCAAATCATATCAGAAGTTTGGTTTATTCAACTAAAATTATAGTAAATTCAATCAGAACATTTTAATTTGTTCATTTTTAGCTTGAATTCCAGTTAATGCAATCAAACTTTTTTTCAAGCGTTGATATTTAATTATTTTATCGTTAATTATTTATAATATATAGTATAATATAAAATTTAAATTTGTAGTAAAATTCATAACAGCTAGTACTGTTTAATTAGATCGATCTCGAGATCAATGAGCAATGCTATCAGCCAACGTCTTGCCTCGTCGTCCACCGCTCTGGAGGGTGCTGTAGGATTATCCATCGGTCGACGTAGCGGTTTCGATCCAAGCGAACCGATCTACACCGATCCTTCACTTTTTGAGGTCACCCATTGCTCGAACACCGCGAAATCGGCTCTCAGTGACAACTTTCATCTTATGTAGAAGAAATACGTGAGAAGATCGATCCCGAAATTACATAACGCGAACGATCCCCGCTTTATTTATTTACTTTAATGAAAGTATACGAAACCGACTAACGACAACTAATCCGTGACAAATCAGCATTTACGATATATTCTGTCACTAGTCAATCCACTGCCAATTCCCCATAAAGATTCTGCCAACTAAAGACTCTGTCAAGCATTTATCAATAATTCTCCGAATGGATTCCGAATAATCCAGACGATTTTTATATATTATTTTATATATTAGTTGAAACGTCTGTATCACATTTTTTAATATACACATTGGATTACACACGAACAACTGGTGTCGGCTCATATTTGGCAATTTCTTTTACGTCTACATACAACGTATTTAATCGTTAAATTATTATTAATAATCGAAAAGATAAAAGTATTACTTTATAAAAATATTTCCTAAAGATATTCCAGAAATAGCATCTGGTATCTCTTTCAAACGACATTCCAAAATGACTGCAAAATAGCTCTTATAATAATATAGAAAAATTTAAGTTTCAAATAATCAAGAGTATCTTAAGATGCAAAGAAAACTCGTTTTTTTCTTTTATATATCTTTCTATCTTTTTTTATATCTTTTATATATATATTTCTATCTTTTATATATATTTCTATCTTTTATATATATTTTATTTTTTATATATATTTCTTCTGAATTTGGAATAAAAATATAGACGAGTTCTCTGTGCCGTTATATTTTAACTAAAAATGACTGATCCAAACATACAAATAATACGAATAATGTGAACATCAAAACTTTCTTCTTTCATTTTACTGATATAATTTTGTCGATTGTCTGTCGCGTCTGCGTTCGTCAAAAGTCACAATTTCGTAACGTTCATCACAAGCTGAATAATATCGCATAACGCAATAATTATTAGCAAGTAAAATCATCAGAAAACTTATATTTATTTTGATATCCTAATTGTGCATTTATGAGAAGTAAATTGGTATTACATACCATATAGAGACACACACAATTACGTTTATATTTTATATTATATAACCAATTTATTTTGCTTACGAGCACCGGCATCGATGTATCGGTGCAATGACAACAAAAATAAAGAAAAATAATAGATGTACAATATGCGTCCATGCCGTGTCCAACAAAATTATCCGCTTTCCTTCATTCGTCTTTAATCCTATCTAGTTTGTAAGTAAAAAGCAGCATTCTAAGCCTGGCTTCCTCCTTGCGGTAATGAGCCTCCTCTAATTTGAGCCTCGCTTCCTCCTTTAACATAGCAGCGATGTCGACCTTCATCTGCGCTTCCGAAAGTGCAAGCATGTGCAGTTCTTCTTCCCGTTGCGCGGATTTTCTCTTGCGATTATGCTCCTGTACAACGCGAGGTGAGATCAAATTGTATAAAGCACTCGGTCCCGGATTACTTTCTCGGTGCGTAATTTTTTCAAAACCGATGTCCATTGATTGACCAATCGTAGGAGAATCGGCGTTTCTTCTTATGAACTTCTCATAATAATCATTCATCGAATCGGGGGATGCAATAGTACCGCAATTATCTCTATCGGCAATCATTTGCTTGAATGTGCCACCAGCTGCGAAAAGTCAAATTTTATTACTTTCGTGAGAAAATAGAAAATATTATAATCTCTTGGTTTATAATATTAAATATTAAATTATTATATTATTATTGTATTATAAAAATATTTCTATTACTTTCTAATAAAGCTATAAAAAATCCAATTAAAAATAAATAATAAATAAATATTAAAAAAATACGATATACAAATAAAAAACTACTTTATTCATAAAAATATCAATTATCACGTTTTTTCTTCATTGATATTTAATTATCATTTATTATTTTAAATTTTCTTATTCGTATAATTAACATTACTAAAATTCATTTTCTCAAAAGCTGTACATTTTGAAAGATTACTATATTAAATGTGGAAGAAGCCGGAAAAAGTATATTTACAATTGGAATTTTCGCGACTGTCTACATTCTTTTTTAAGCAGTTTGGATTTTGAGGTCCAGCAGTACAAACACTTTGCAATGTGAATGGCTCTGAATCCTTCGGCTCGAATACTACATTTGGTGGTAAACCAACAGTTCCGGTAGACATTGGTACTTCTGGGACATTCTGACCACAAGTTATACCTTCCCAACATTGATTTCTTGCCCTTTCGTCTTTTGTCGATTGACAAACCACTTTCATATTTTCACTAAAAGATCAAAAGATTTTAATATTTATTCTCTTGGACTTTTTTCCTTTATATCAATTTTTTTACACTGTTAAGTCAACCACTTGCTAACAAACTTCTGAGCAACCTTGAAGCAGATTTTTCTCAAAACTTTTATTCAAATTTTAAATTTTACTGCCTTCTTTATTCTAATTCTTACAAGCAAAAGTCAAGATACGAGTTTCATCAAACTACATCTCATTAGCTATTAAGTTCTGTTTAGTGCCAAGCGTAATTAATCTCGAGAACAATTGCTTCATAATGCCGAAATTACCGAAATTTCTTCTCCTCGCGATTACGCTTGCAGGCCTTCATATTCTCCCAGCAACGTCTGAGCTGTATGGTTGAACGTGCGCTCCGGGACCCTACTATTAAATTGTACTCCTCGGTGATTCGCGACCACGCCGACTTTCGTTTGCATATGGAGATCGGATCAGACTTCCTATTCTGGACGACCTCGTGCTTGTTTATCAACGATATCAAGATTTTCCGTTCCTCGAAGCTGTATGTCTTGCGAGTGCCCTTCAAAGATGCGGATGCCATTTTACTACGGGTACGAGCGTTCGATTGTTTCTTTTGCTCTCGGAGCGTTTCCCTTATGTTAATATTAAGCCTAATTCAGATTGGCCTTTGTTAGTACCTATCATACTTTTTGTCAATCTTGTCGAATTCTTGGTTTTGCACCGATTTAAGCTCCAAAAAATTTTACACACTCGTCTCAGTATAAATATCATTGTGTCATTGATGAAAATGGACAGATATGCCGGGATACAAAAGAAAATTCTTATTCAGTCAACTTACTCAAAAAGGCAATGCTGTATACAACATAGTGCCTGATATATGTATGTCAAATTCTTCGACCTTCTATAAGCAATTTTGAAAAGGTAAATGCCTTTTCAAATGCATTTAGTATTACGCGTGATACAAAACAATCATCACGAAAATCTCTTATAATCGGATGAAATTCATGACATAATCAATCTGAAGATATAATACGTAACCTACAAAAATATAGGATGCCAATTAATCTGACAATATTTTTCTTAATTGCTCATTTCCTCTAATGTTTTGTATGTATCTAATATAATTGTTTTTTTTACACGAAGACGTATATTTAAATTACAATTCAAATCTTTTTATCATAATTTTTCCAATAAAATAAGGTATATTGGGTATACATAATAATGACACACTTGCAATAATAAGAGATAATCCATTTTATTTCATTTTAATCTGTATACAATAGCAACCAGCATTATAACCATTGTAAACGGAGATGCAAAATATGCAATATGTTGCTTTTAAAGTTATTATTTAATAATTTAAAGAATCTAATAATTTAGTTATGATTTAAGTACAATTTAAAACATTAAGTTTTTAAGTACATAATTTAAAATAAACGCAATAAATTCTCAAATTTCTATGCAGAAAATATGTAACATTCAACAGAATAGAACAAATATTAAATATTCAGAATAATAGATTAATATTTTTGCATACATAATTAATCTAATAAATTTGGCAAGGGACCATCTCGGTTTATACAATAAATTAGTGAAGATTCTTGATATTAGTAAAAGTTGACACAAATAAGATGTAAATTAAGAAAAAAGGCAAGATAGTATAGAGTTCCAAGAAATTTAAAAGGCAAGACTAGGTTTCAAGAAATTTAATTTCTCGCCAGCTAATACTGTAACTTTCAAATACCATAACTCGGAAAGTTCTTATAAAGAAAAGGTTTGTAATCAGTGTTCTCAACGTCAGCTACAAAGATATGCTGTGAAAAATAGGGAGTTCCGTTTAAGATTTTTGTGTTGCCTTTGAAAGCACTTTCCAAGGTCACCTTCAAGGTCAAATTAATATTTTATTTCAAACATTTTTTTAGATAAATTCATATTTTTGAGATATTAGCCATTTCAGAACGTTTTACCATGCACTATAATACCAGATTTTTTTAAATCTACCCATCTTTTTTCGGTCTTATCTTTTTTCTTAATTTATATCTTATGCTGTCAACTTTTACCGATATCAAGGATTTTCACTAACTTGTACAAACTGAGATGATATCTTGTGAGAAGATGTTGCAACAAATTTCATCATTTCGAATACATAATACGAAATTATACAGAAACATATTGCATATTATACATCATTTTTTATGGCATTTATATTTTTCAGGAATATAAACCTTTCACCATAAATCCACTATCCCGTCTCTGGGGATGAGTGTGTGGGAGAGGGCTATCTTCCAATACAATATAGATAGATCGCGCAACTTTCATACATATAATATAATTTTCCATGTTTAAATTGTATGTGTGTGTGTGTGTGTGTGTGTGTGTGTATTTTATATACACACACACACACACACACACACACATATATATATATAATCGGCAAATGTCGCAAATCTTTAGTACAAAATTATATAGTAGATTTAAAAAACAAATAAGACAATTTTTTCTTTAAGTAACATCTACCGTATACAGGAACAGAAAGCATCGTCATGTACTGTGAATAATCTGTTGTCACAACGACAGGAACATTATTCCGTATCATAAAGAATAACATAAATCCTATAAATAAACAATTAAATGAACAACATAATAATCATTGGTTTGCTACTTTACAACGTAATTAAAATTGAATAAAATTTCCATACATATGCTTCCATGTAACATAGTTACAGTAAATGGTCTAATTATGTCTTAAGTTAATATTTTAAGCGATATAATTTCTGCAAACCAATAATATTGTACTCTGTTTCACGTTATTATTACTAACAAAAATAACTTTGGTGTACGTAACAGATTATACGCTTTAAGTAACTACTATATATTACGACTGATTTGCGCAAAAATGTGAGTCAAAAACAAAAATTAAAATTTGCGATCATCCTCTCTCCGTATAAGAATAGAATAACCAAATAAA